GTGCTAGCCAGGATGGTCTCGATCTCCTGACCTCATGATCCACCCGTCTTGGTCTCCCAAAGTGCTGGGATTACAGGCTTGAGCCACCGCGCCTGGCCGTCCATGAAATCTTTACAATTTATGTTCTGTCATGGCTTTAGCGGGTACCTCTGTTCGGGGTCCCTGACTTCCCACAACAGGGCAGGTGGGTGGAAAGCCGGCGGCGGTCAGAGAATGGATGCCAAGCGAGACTGCCAATGACTCAGGACGTCCCAGTGGAGTCACAGCATGAGCCCAGCACCAAGGTTTTCTGAGTCAGATGACCGCAGAGATGCTGATAGCACTACTGGCCAAAATGGGCTTCACTAGAGCTGGGGTGTGTGCAGTATAAAGTAGGGGAGCATACTGTCCCTGTCCAGGCCAAGAGATCCTTGGAATATTAGGGGAGCAGCAGCCCCAGGGTCCACACTGCAGGGGCTGGTAGTCAGGGCTCCGGCAGGTCTGTGGGCCAGAGGTGAATGAAGGGGTAGTTTGCTCAAGAAGAGGATGCACTTTGGGAAGGTGAGGTGGGAGGATCCTTTGAGACCAGCCTGGACAACAAAATGAGACCCAGTCTGTACACACAAAAAAATTATTTTTAAATTAGCCAGGTAGGTGGGACATGCCTGTAGTCTTAGTTCAGGAGGCCAAAGTGGGAGGATCACTTGAGCCTAGGAGATTGAGACTGCAGTGAGCCGTGATCACACCACTGCACTCCAGCCTGAGCACAGAGCAAGACTATGTCTCAACAAATAAATAGTGGTGGGCAGAGAGAAGGGTCAAAACTGAAGACTCCATGTGAGAACAATTTTTTTTTTTTTTTGAGACAGAGTCTTGCTGTCATCCAGGCTGGAGTGCAGTGGTGCTATCTTGGCTAACTGTGACCTTCATCTCTGGTTCAAGTGATTCTCCTGCCCCAGCCTCCCTAGTAGCTGGGACTACAAGTACCTGCCACCACACTAATTTTTGTATTAGTAGAGATGGGGTTTCACCATGTTGGCCAGGCTGGTCTCGAACTCCTGACCTCAAGTGATCCATGAGAACAGGTAATTTTTGTACTTTTATTTTTTTTAGATGGAGTCTTGCTCTGTCGCCCAGGCTGGAGTGCAGTGGCACGATCTCGGCTCACTGCAACCTCCGCCTCCCCGGTTCAAGAGATTCTCCTGCCTCAGCCTCCTGAGTAACTCAGATTACAGGCATGTGCCACCACCCCCAGCTAATTTTGTATTTTTCGTAGAGACGGGGTTTCACCATGTTGGATGAAAGGAGCTGGGCACATTCCTCAGCCCCGGGCTAAAACTCCCTGAGCCCAGTACAAACACATCCCATCCTCCCATCCCACCACATATCGCCATATATCTCTCAAACTCCCTGAGCCCAGTACAAACACCACCTGGAAGGCCGGGCGCGGTGGCTCAAGCCTGTAATCCCAGCACTTTGGGAGGCCGAGGTGGGTGGATCACGAGGTCAGGAGATCGAGACCATCCTGGCTAACATGGTGAAACCCCGTCTCTACTAAAAATACAAAAAACTAGCCGGGCGTGGTGGCGGGCGCCTGTAGTCCCAGCTACTCGGAGGCTGAGGCAGGAGAATGGCGTGAACCTGGGAGGCGGAGCTTGCAGTGAGCCAAGATCGCGCCACTGCACTCCAGCCTGGGTGACACAGCGCGAGACTCCGTCTCAAAAAAAAAAAAAAACCACCACCTGGAAAGTCTCCGATAAGGAGACGGCCGTTCAAGGTTTTACTGAAAGCGCGGGAGCCAAAAGAATTCCTTTGTTCCCCTGTAACTCTCGGGCTATAAAAAGCAAATGCTCGCATTGTTCGGGGCCCTCTTGTATACTGTGGAATGGAGGGACCAGGTTCGAACTTGTAGTAAAGATCCTTGCCGCTTGGCTTTGACTCTGGACTCTGGTGGTCTTCTTTGGGGAACAAACAGTCTGGGCATAACATTGGCCAGGATGGTCTCAAATTCCTGACCTGAAGCAATCCGCCTGCCTCAGCCTCCCAAAGTTCTGGGATTACAGGTGTGAGCCACCATGCCTGGCTGTTGTATTTTTTAGAGCCCAAGGTAAGCAGCAGGAAAAGCCCAAGGGGCTCCAGGCCATAGTCCAGAGGCCATGGGACATGGCCCCCACATCTCTAGGTTGGGTACTCAGAGCCAGCTGAGTTCTCCCTCAGCCCTTTGCTCAGGGCCCCGGATGTGCCAGAGTAAGGGTAACAGATTCCTCAGTCCAATGGCCTGGCTCATCTTGCCAGGCCCTGCCTCCTGCTCAGCTGCCTTGAGTCCTTACTGGGACATGTTGCTTTTTCCACCCAGGACCTCCCCCACAGCCACCCCCTAATCCACTGTTCTCTTCAGGGTTTGAATTAGGCTACACAGAGATAGGCAGTTCATGTGTGGGCGAGGGGCCCTGGTCATCCCCAGGAGCCAGCACCAGACCAGGCTCTGCCAGGCTTCACATGGCTCTGAAGTGCTGTTGGGTGATTAACGTACAGTGAGGGTTGTGTGGGCAGAGGAAGGTTTTATTCTGGACATGGGTGGCTGGGGGGTCAGTCCCCCAGCAAGATAGAGGCCTCACGCACATGCTGCCTGACTACTCTGTCCAAGAGGGTGTGCACATCTCGAGCAGCCTGGGCAGCAGCCTCCAACACCCGCTCCAGGTGGTCCTCGTGCAGCCGGGCATCCATCTCAAGCAGCGCAATCTGTCCTGAGGCTGGCAGCAGGGCCAGGGCCAGCTGGGGGCCACCAGCTGCTTCCTCCACATGGCTGAGGTCCGCCAGGGCTGTGCCGTCCACAAAGCCAGCTGAGCACGCACACACAAAGTCTCTCATGGGTATCCCAGCATCCAGCACTGCCAGTGTGGCTGCATTCACACAAGCTGCATAGGTCCCACCATCTGCCTGTAACACCTGCAGGGACCCCGGGGTGTGAGTCTATCAGACCCTCTCCCCAACCCCATCACACCCACCCCTCCCTGGATTGACGCTGCAGCCGGCTCACCTGCACATAGATATCAATCTGGGAACGTGGGTGCAGCTGTGTGAGGATGGCTGCCTCGAAAGTCTGGCGGAGCTGCAGGCCCATCTCACAGGACTTCCGGTCCCCATGTGGCCGTCGCTTGCGCTCACCTGTGCTGAAGGTCGCTGAACTATATTGACAGTTCACTAGGGCCCTGTCCGGCAGGGCTCGAGCCCGGGAACCCCGGATCTGGAAGAGGACGGACACATGAGCCAGGCCCACTCCTTCCAGCTCACACGCCACTGTCCTCTGTGGGTCTGCCTCTCCCTCCACTTCCAATGCCTCAGCAAGGGGCAACTACATTACCTCCAAAACAAAGCCCCCTGTTTTGCACTCTCTGTCTTGCATGTGTTGCCCTCTGGCATCTTTTAATAGGCTTCCTTGTGCCCATCCTTGCCCCATTCCCTGCCAACCCAAGTTTACAAACATCAAGGCTGATTCTGTCTCACCTTCACACTCAAATCCTAATTACCTTACAAAGGTTTCACATTACATATGAAATAAAATCCCAAATCATTTCCCTGGTCTACAAAACCCTAATTCCTCACCTCCCCGGGAACTCTCAACCTTATTTAGAGTTATCCCCTCTTTCCCCACCAGCAGTCTTTCTGTTATGCATAAGTGCCTTGCTTGTTTTCACCACCGTGGTCTTCGCCCTCCTGGTTCCCTCCGCCTGGAAAGCAGAGCTCCTACCCTCATGCGCTAAACAAACACTCTTTCAATACCTTCGCTGGCCAGGCACAGTTACAGCGCTGGAAACACAGCAATGAAACCAGAGAGTTTTATGTAGTTTCTGTCCTTAGGAAGCTTATGTTCTAGCGAGGAAACAGGGGAAAATGCTTAAGCAAAATAGGCATTTGAGATTGCAGATGCACAAAAGACAAGGGTTTATTGTAGGGAGAGAAGTACCGCGTGGATAAAGCCGTCTGGGAAGGAGTGACGTCGGAGTAGAGCTGAGAGGAGAGGGAGCGAGTGGGGGAGTGCCTGGCACGTTGAAGAGCCGCAAAGAGGAGGGAGAGCGCAGGCACAGAGACCGATGAGAAAGGCAGGACCACCGCGCAGCACACTAAAGACTTGCGTTTACTCCGAGTGAGATGCAGTGCTGAGCATCGGCTGTGTAGACTGAGGCGCGCCGGCCGCACCTCTCAAGTCCCCGAACCTGTGCTCAGCCCGGCTGCCCAGCAGATCCCGCGGTCACGCGATTCCCATCCCGCACGCCCACTCGCCTCGTGCGGGCCGTAGACCACCGCCAGCGCCTTGGTGTTGCCCTGCTCGATGTAGGCCGAGCCGTCAGCCTGCGCGAACACGCCCATCCGAGCCTGGATCTTGCGCAGCTCCCCGGCGCGCCGACCGTCCACCCGGTAGCCCTGGTCCGACAAGAGCTCCAGCCCCGCCATGCTGCCCGGCCGCCAGCTCCGCTCTCTGCCTAGTTCTCTGATCCGCGGGAGAACTACAGCGCCCTGCGACTCCGAGCTCCCCGAATCTACGGTTTCCGGCGGTCCGCCATCACTTCCGGTTCCGGGGAGCTACAGCTCCCCGCGGTCCCGACCTCCCTGGATCTACGGTTTCCGGCGGTCCGCTGTCACTTCCGGTCCCGGGGAACTGGAGTTCCTCGCGGCACCGACCTCCCTGGGTCTACGGTTTCTGGCGGTTCGGCTTCACTTCTGTCTCCGGGGAACTGCGGTGGCGCTGTCGGGGAAGCAGCGGTTGAGCCCGCAGCCGTTCCCGGAGCTGTGCCACGGGTGCCAGGAGGTGGGCGCCCGCTGAAGGAGAAATTCCCGTCACGCCCTCAGGACCAGTGGTGCCTGCATTCAGTCCTTCCCCGCGCCCCAAGTGTGAAAGTGGAAGGATGAACCCAGTGGGTTGCGACACTGACAGGAGAAGGCATTGAGCGGTCCTAGAAAAGTGACCAGGCTGGTGTCCCAGGATGGTCCACACCTGGCACCTCTCCAGTCCTCTCATGCCCTCCCTTTACACCGAGCTTCCAGACTGCAGTCGAGTGGGCCTCCCTTTTCCCTTTGAGGATGCAGATTTCCTCATCCTTTCCAGAGAGGGGTTGTGTGTCTGTTTATCTCTTGCCACTTAACCTCAGCGGCTTCAAATAGCAATCATTCTATTATTATGTCCTGCAGTCTTGGGTTATCTAGGCTCAGCTAGGTAGTTTGCACGTAGGTTCTCTCCTACAGTTGCTGCCAGATGGTGGCTGGGGCTGGAGCCATCCTAAAGCTTTCTCTTTCACATCTTTGGTGGCTGATGCTGGTGGCTGGCCAGGACCTCATCTGTGGCTGTCAGGCAGCACACCTACCTGTGGCTTCTCCATGCTTCCTTGCAATATGGCAACTGGGTTCCAAGGGTAGCCTTCCAGGACAACAAGATGGACAACATGTGCATGATATTTTTAGGACCTAGCCCCAGAAGTCACATAGTGTCCCTCCTGCCAGACTCTGTGGGTCAAGGCAGTCAGACACATCTACCCAGGCTTAAGGGATGGGGACAGGGACCCCACCCTTCAGTGGGAGAAGTGTCAATATTAGACTGTAGGAACAGCAGGTGGGCTGGGGAAATGCAGTCTGCTGCAGGGGCCCAAGTTCAGCATCGCCTCAGAGGTGGTTATGCTCTCCTGAAAGACTGAGAGGCATGAGAATGAGTGAGCAAGCCACAGCCCTGCTGCTGCAGCTCGTATGAGGCCATGATGGGTCACTATTCTCTGCCACTGGCCACCACCGATTCCCCACCCTTGGCTCTGCAGCCAGACACTTCTCCCCTTGCAGTCTGAGCTCTTCCTGTCCCTGTTCTTACTGGGTCGTTTTGTTTGTTTGTTTTGTTTTTTTGAGATGGAGTCTCACTCTGTCACCCAGGCTGGAGTGCTGTGGCACAGTATCAGCGCACTGCTCCCTCCACCTCCTGGGTCCAAGTGATTCTTGTATCTCAGCCTCCCAAGTAGCTGGGAAGCTGGGATTACAGGCACCTGCCACTATGCCTGGGTAAGGTTTTTGGTTTTTTTTTTTTTTGGAGACGGAGTCTCACTGTCACCCAGGCTGGAGTGCAGAGGCATGATCTCAGCTCACTGCAACCTCCAGCTCCTGGGTTCAAGTGATTCTCCTACCTCAGCCTCCCAAGTAGCTGGAATTACAGGCATGCGCCACCATGCCCTGCTGACTTTTTTTTGTAGTTTTAGTAGAGATGGGGTTTCACCATGTTGACCAGGCTGGTCTTGAACTCCTGACCTCAGGTGATCCACCTGCCTCGGCCTCCTGCCACTGCACCTGGCCATTACTGGGTCGTTGTTTCGACTGTCCACTGACAGTCCTTGCCACATGCAGGAAGACTAGACATCCAGGGAGCTCTGTGGACTGCCCACCCTAGTTGTGTAGCAGTGACCATAGCAACTCAGGAAAATGAGGACGATGTTGGTATTCAGCCTAAGGAGCCCAAAGTAGGCCAGTGATAGCTGCTACTTCAAGATCAGTGGAACCTTTGCTGTGTTCCCTGGTGGAAGTATCTGCCTTCAGGAACTAGGCCTCCAACCTGGCAGCATTCCAGGTTTAGGATTATGGGGCCACTGCTACCTCACACCTTTGGTTCTCTGATCCTCGTACTCCAGCTTTAGGGTACACACATGGGTCGATTCAAATTTTGGAGGCCTAAAGCTTATACAAATTCAGGGGCCGTGAGAAGTATCCTCAAGATCCCTCCTGAATAATCAATTTGCTAGAAGGACTCACTATAGACTCACGGCTAAGTTTATTACACAGAGAAGATAATAAGTCTGAATCAGCAAAGAGAAAAGGTGCATGGGATGAATTCCACAGGAAATCAGGCGTGAGCTGGCCAAGTCCTCTCCTGGTGGACTCCACAGGAAGAAGCTGGAGCTGTGTGTGTGAAATGCTTCTGCCAGGGAAGCTTCTTAGACACTCAGCACCCTGGGGTTTTATGGAGGGAAGGTTACATACACAGTCTGTGCCAAGCATGTACCCAAATTCCAGACCCCCAGAAGCAACACAGGCGTTCAGCATGAGCCATGTTTGTACAAACAGTCTAGGCACAGTGAGACACGCTTTCCAGAGAATGGAGGGAACCATCCCAAAACCCAAATTCCCAGACACCAACTCTTCAAGCTTGCCTGTGAAGAGCTTCTCAGGCCTGCCGTTAACTCGTCTACGCAGTCTTCTTTTGAAACATAAGACAAAATTATATATCCAAAACTAAGTGAATAGTGAGAAAAGAAGCCCCAACACAAACATTTTAAAAGCTGACAAATACCACAAACATCACAAAATGCAGAAAACCACAGGTTTCCCCTACATTTCTCTGATGCTCTCTTAAGATGACAACACTTTTTTTTTTTTTTTTGAGACGGAGTCTTGCTCTGTTCCCCAGGCTGGAGTGCAGTGGCGCGATCTGGGCTCACTGCAAGCTCCGCCTCCCGGGTTCACGCCATTCTCCCGCCTCAGCCTCCCAAGTAGCTGGGACTATAGGCGCCCGCCACCACGCCTGGCTAATTTTTTTTTTTAATTTTTAGTAGAGACGGGGTTTCACCGTGTTAGCCAGGGTGGTCTCCATCTCCTGACCTCGTGATCTGCCTGCCTCGGCCTCCCAAAGTGCTGGGATTACAGGCTTGAGCCACCGTGCCCGGACGACAACACTTTTTATAACGTAACCTCCTATTTTTATAACGTAACCTCCTATATGTAGAAAGAAGGTGGCAGATGCGGTGACTCGCGCCTGTAATCCCAACACTTTTGGGAGGCAGAGGCAGGTGGATCCCTTCAGTCTAGGAGTTCAAGATCAGCCTGGACAACATGGCAAAACCCCATCTCTACAAAAAATACAAAAAATTAGCTGGACATGGCCACGTATGGTGGTGCATACCTGTGGTCCCAGCTACTTGGGAGGCTGAGGTGGGAGGATCACTTCAGCTGGGGAGGTCAAGGCTGCAGTAAGCTGTGGTCCTACCACTGCACTCCAGCCTGGGCAACAGAATGAGATGCTGTCAAAACAAAAAACAAATAAACAAAAACCAAGAAAGAAAATGATTTAGTTTCTCCTTTCACATGTTTGATCAAAATTTAATTTTATCACTTATAGTTAAGTTGCTTTCAGGTAAAAGCTCCTTTGGGTAATATGTACATTTTTAGAATTGTCATTAAATTTGAGGAAATCCCTTATCAAATTTTTTCCACATGTGAGCCATAACAGTTCAGGTGTTGGCTGGGTGAGGTAGCTCATCCCTGTAATCCCAACACTCTGGGAAACTGAGGCAGGAGGATCGCTTGAGGCCAGGTGTCCGAGACCAGCCTGGGCAGCATAGTGATACACTATCTCTACAAAAAAAAAAAAAATTAAAAATTAGCTGGGCATGGTGGCACACGCCTGTAGTTCCAGCTACTTGAGAGACTAAGACGGGAGGTTGGCCTGAGCCGAGGGAGTTCAAGGCTGCTGTGAGCTATGATCGCTCCACTGCACTCCTGCCCATACCACAGAGTGAGGCTCTATCTCAAAAAACAAACCAAAAAACCCAGAACCCTCCCCCCAAATAAAAATGAATTTGAGTTTGGGTTTTCTTGCTTGTGACTACTCTTAGATCCTCTTTGAGTTGAGGATGCATTCTCTGATGCTCTCTTAAGATGACAACACTTTTTTTTTTTTTTTTTTTTTTTTTGAGACGGAGTCTTGCTCTGTTCCCCAGGCTGGAGTGCAGTGGCACAATCTCGGCTCACTGTAAGCTCCGCCTTGATGAAACTTGGCCAGTTTCATCAGCTTGTTGTGTTAACATGCAGCTGAGGGAGATAGATGGGTGTTTCTGGAAGTCATTTCTACACCAGCATGACTAGCGACAGCATAACTGTATCAGGAAGTGACTGTTCCCACCAAGCCCAAGCAAAACGTACCCTCAACTCAGCCTCCCAGGAGCTGGACCCCACAACGCCCCTCCGGCTCTGTGCAGCAGGGGAGGGGGTAACTGATGGCAGGTTGCAGGGGGAAGAGACAGTTTTAGCTGGTTGTGGTTAAAATATCTCACTTTTGCAAATTTTATGAAATATATGACTTGACTCTGTAAATAGTTTGCTGGGGCCCAAGCTGGGAAGGGGCTGTGGGACTGAGGATCCTGGAACGGATTCCCGAGATTCTTGGTGAACCTGTTTCTCGAGCTCCAACTTCTTAGGGCAGCACAGGCGCATCCCAGCAGAAGTGCCCCGCCCTGGAAGGGGCTGACATCCAGCTGGCAGCGGGGCAGGGCCTTCAGCAGACTGTGCCACTATTCTGTTGGGCCGAGAAGGGTTTGAGAGACCAGTGAGTCCCAGGGATGTGAGCTCATTGCCACACGGTAGGCACTAAGGTGGGTTGTTAGGATTTTTTTTTTTTTTTTGAGATACAGTCTCACTCTGTCGCCCAGGCTAGAGTGCAACGGCGCGATCTGGGATCACTGCAACCTCCGCCTCCTGTGTTCAAGCGATTCTCATGTCTCAGCCTCCTGAGCAGCTGGGATTACAGGCGCATGCCACCGTGC